AATATTATAGTACATTAATGTGCATACAGATATATAGTTGTTTCACTACCATTTGTTTAAAGGCTATTCTTTCTCCACAGAACTACGTTAGCACCTTTAATGAAAATCAGCCAGCCTTCCGTGGGTCTCTATTATGTCCCGCAGATCTGCATGCCCTACTCTAGGGCACGGCTCTTCTGGAGTCCTGGGCCCGTGAATGTCCTGGGCTCTCTAGTCTACTCCAGCTGGTTGACACTCTAACATCTCCCAGCCCGGAGGGAACTCTATGGCTTTTCCAGTAATTTACTGAGTTCACACACACACACTCTGGTCATTCTTTGCCTGGCTTCGCAGAATTGCATGCTATACCTGGGCAGCTAGCTCCCTCGGCTCAAGACCAGCACAGAGCTACGGTATTCTTCCTCTGACGCTCTGCCCCTCAGGTGAGCTGTGTCAGCTCCTCCACATTCTGTTTCCTCGGTTCCCTGAGCCTGTCATGCTCTGCTTGGACTCTTCCTCCCCACGCTGTGGCCCAGAAAGTGCTCCAAGCGGCAGGACTGCGTAACCAGGCCCCTCCTCCCCGGAAGCACAGTCCTGCACTGCTGTCCAGCTGTCTCAGCTCTTTCAGATTGCCATGACCAAACGCCACACACTGGGTGGCTTATAAACAGCAGCAACTTACTGCTTACACATGTGGAGGCTGGAAGTCCAAGTTCAGGGGGCCGGCATGATAGGGTGAGGGCCCTCTTCTGGGTCAAAGACTTATTGCTATACCCCCACACAGCAGAAGGAACAAGGGATCTCTCTGGGACCTTTTATAAGGGCACTAATCCCATTCATAAGGATCCCTCCCTCATAACCTAATCACCTCCCAAAGGCCCTACCTCCTAATATTACCATCATTGGGGGTTAGGGATTCAACACAGGAATTTTGGAAGGACACAAACATTCAGTCCACGGCACCAAAGTTTCAGCAGGGTGGTTTCGTATGTTTTGTTCCTAGTTGTTTATGGTAGGAGTATAATCTGGTCGGAGTTACTCCACCACAGTCTGAAGTGGAAAAATGCCCAATCCTGTTTGTCTGGAAGCTGATGCCTGCTAGACCTTGCAGCTACTGTGTTTTTAAAAAATATATTTAAATCCCTTTCTGCCTGCATTAATCTTCTATTTCTGTGAGACCTACCTGCTACACACTTCCTTTTCAAAGAGTGCTCTGGCTATTTCTGCATGTGTATTGTTCCGTGCAATCATCAGGCTTATAGAACCACTCCTCCCCAAAGTTGCCCTGGCATTTGATGGGGATGGAATTAAATACATGTATCAATTGAAGGAAACTGACGTCCTCCACAGCAGCGGTCCCCAACCCTTTTGGCACCAGGAACCAGTTTCATGGAAGACAATTTCTCCACAGACCTGGGCAGCTGGGGAGATGGTCTGAGGATGATTCAGGTGCGTTACGTTCAAGCTCACGTCCTGCTGTGCGGCCTGGTTCCTGACAGGCCCCGCCCAGTACGAGTCCTTGGCCTGCGGCCCAGAGGCTGGGGACGCCTGCTCCACAGCACTGACCCTTCCCCTCTCTCCTGCCCAAGTATAAAACACATCTCTTTGTTTATTCAGGTCTTCTTTCGTGCACTTCAATTTTCTTCAAATAAGTTCCATATATCTATTTATTCCTCAATATTTTATGTTTTGTCAGTTTTCTGAAAGGGATCTTATTCTCCATGATCTATTCTAATTATAGTCCTTACGAAAGAAAGCTGGATATTTTTGGTGCTAATTTTGTACTTGCCAAACTTTTATTAGTTCTAATGGGCTTTCAATGGATTCCCCTGATTTGCCCAAGTAGAGAATCACATTATTTACAAATAATAATTTGGTCTCCTTTATAATATTTTTTTCATTATCTTGCCTGATTGCAGAAAAATATTTATAATAGCAATGGTAGTGCCTACACTTATTGCCTTCCCAATTTTAAGGAAAATACTCTAGTTCATCATTAGACAGGATTTGACTACTGGTTGGTAACAGTTCTTTGAGATTTTATTTATCTTTTTTAAAGATTTTATTTATTTATTTTTAGACAGAGGGGTAGGGAGAGAGAGAGAGGGAGAGAAACATCAATGTGTGGTTGCCCTTTACATGCCCCCACAATGGGGACCTGGCCTGCAACCCAGGCATGTTGCCCTGACCAGGACAAGAATTGAACCAGTGACCCTTTGGTTCGTAGGCCGGAGCTCAATCCACTAAGCCACACCTGCCAGGGCTATTTATTTTGAGAGGGAGAGAACGAGAGAGAGAGAGAGAAACATCAATGTATGGTTGCTTCTCGCACACCCCCAGCTGGGGACCTGGCCTACAACCCAGGCATGTGCCCTGACTGGGAATTGAACTGGCGACCTTTTGGTTAACAGGACGGCACCCAGTACACTGAGCCACACCAGCCAGGGCATGTAACAGTTACTTTTTATAATGTTAAGGAACTATACACATGTATTTATATTATTAAGTGTTTTCCTAAAAAGGCAGAAGGAAAATCAGGACAAAAAAAGGAAAAGAATTTTTATCGGAAATGGATATAGAATTTTATAAAATCCCATTTCCTGAAGTATTTTATTCCTACTAACATATATGTTATATTTCATATTAGTAGGGAGATGTATTATATTTTTTAATATTGAATTATGTTCGTAATCTAAATCCTACTTAGTAACTAAAACTTTTATATATAGTTGCATTTTGTATATTTCTTACTATTTTATTTATGATTTTTACATCTATACTAATAAGTATGATTGTAGTTTACTTTTTTGGTATCTTTGTCAGAAACAGAATTATCCTAATTTTATAAAATATATTCCTTTTTTGTATTACTTCTATAATAAGAAATACAGTTATAAAAAAATAAAGCCTGAAAAATTAATAACTCCTCAAATGCCCAACACTTATTTTTGGCCAACTACTTTTAAAATTTATTTTCAATTATAGTTGACACACAGTATTATATGAGTTTCCGGTGCACAACACATACCCACAACTTTTTACACATTTATCTTTTTCTTCAGATTCTGGAGCTCTGATTATAAAATTCTGACAGGTCATTTCTTTCAACCCATCCTGTATTTTAGAATATAGACATTATAGACATATGCCTTAAAAGTTGCTTGTAAAATAAAAATCTTTCAAATATACTGTCTCCAAAACTCCCTTTGTAAAAACTGGAAGATTATTTCAGATGCTAGTGGCTTTTCACTCTTCCTGGAATTCTCTTTCCCCGGATGTTTCTATTGCCCAATCCCTTACTTTATTTAGGTCTGAATCGAAATAGCACCTACCTCTTCAGAGAAGCCTTCCCTGTCCACCCTAATTAAAGTCCCCCCCACCACCTCTCCATCCATCTCTAGCCTTGCTGTGTTTCTCACAGCCCCTCTGAAACAGTTTACCCCCAGTGCCTCAAAAAGGACTTGACACAAGGTAAGTGGTCAGTTCCCATCTGATGAGGACAAAGCTACCCAAGGATAGTTCACCCCACTCTGGTGCCACACATTGTTGACTAAAGAGTCAAATGACTTCATTTACGAGATTCTTTCTCCCATAATAATCTGTTCTCCAGGCCAAGAACGCCCAGGGTTCCATGTAAAAGCAGAAAAAATATGAGTCTTCCAGAAATAAACTGTTGTGCTCTTTTCCCACATCGATGGTGCCCAGTCAGCACCAGGTAACTATATTCTGCCTACTCTCCCTGGCAGCTCCCTTCATGGGGTTGAATACCAACAGAGTGAAACTACGGTACAAAGAGAAAGCTCTTAAAGAAACAACAAATGGTTTAGGTGGCATGGATGGATGGAAGTCCTCCAAGTCCCTGGTCTCGCGGGTGAATCACACCTAGAAGTGATCGTCCTGAAAGTAAATCTTCAAGGAAGAAGTAAACATTGGTTACTTAATGGCGTCTCTTAAGGACTCTGAACCAGTTTTAGATTCCAACAGGACAGGAATGTTTGAGTTAACAAGCACTGAGAACAAGGGAAAAGCGGTAGGTAGCTTTTGCTTTATCCCCTTCCCACTGAATTTGCCCCCGGGTATGAGGAGGACAGAACAGACACCAAGCAAGCAAGAAGAATCCAGATTCCAGAGCACTCGCCCAGGGTCCTAACTTGTTTCTCAGTCATGTCCCTGTGCCGCTCTGCTGGTACTAAGTGCCAGCAACAGCAGTGTCCTTCCACAGAACAGAGGGAGGACAGATTTTCCAAATACAGTAAACTCTCCATTTTCCCACTGATCACATACGAGTCCATTAGTGTGACAGCATTATTATATTGCAATTTAGCTCCTTCCCAATGTTCAGTCTTTATTGAACAGTGGGAACAGAAGCCAGGCCCTTTAAGTCCATGTATTTCTGGTGCTGTTGTTTTTCTACTCCCATCTCTTGTGCTTTAATGTTACCAGTAACAAGAAGATAACCAAAACTGCTAATAATGTAAGAAATTCTACATGTATAAAATTTCAAAACCTGAATTTATTTTCTGACTTACAAATTACCTAAATTCTTAAATACTCACACACAATTAAAATATGATGGAACCCTCACCCTGAATTAGAGATGTAACAAAATAACAAAAAAAAAAAAAACAACTAAGACTGCAACTAAAGGAGACACAAAATTCTAATTTAAGATGAATTTAATTTAGGGTACAATATACACCTAAACCCTCTATAATCCAAAGCAATAAATTTTATCAGAAATTAAGTCATGTTTTCAATTAATACTACAGCATTCTTTCTTCCCATTTTTTCCTCCCAGTTCATTCCAGCACATCCATCTTCCAGCAGCTCTGGTGAGCCCGGCAGTACACGCCCTCAAACTTCGATTACATAAACTGCGTGAGGACATGTGACGTGTCCACGTACAATCGCCTGCATTATGCATTCCTATTCTCAAATACCTGTTTCCCATGAATTTCAAAACCATGTCATGCATTGGACTTGAGGAATGAAACGATAACGGAATACATTGGATGCCTGACCTCTTGATTTTCTACTCCATGGCTGGAAAGCTCCGAAACAGAACCTCCACTGTCAACCACTGCTGATGTCATTGTGTATTCCCTGAGGAAGCTTGAAATGCTATTAATCAGTGCAATTAACGGTTCATGGATGATTGCCAGTATTATAGGTTTGCATTATCATGTCTTAAAAGTCAATACAGGAGTGGAGTAGACATCCAGAAATCGAATCTTCTAAAGATGATTAACCAGAGAGCCTAAAAGGAGGAAGAATTTGAAAGGTTATTAAACATATATAGGAAAGGTATAAAGTACAACCTATTCTACAATCTAATTTTTAGCATTTTGCATGGACTAAAAAAAAAAAACAAAAAAAGATAGGCTTATACAGCCCTGTGTCAACAGAGGGCAGTAATGAGCATTCTACTTAGTATTGTCCAGTTCATGAACATAATGAAATTAAGTTCTTACCAAGCTACTGCACATTTATGACATTATGATATTTACATTCTAAGAAGTAAAATGTTACAATTATTTTTATGAAGATGTACTTTTGTTCCTGAAATATTTTCATAGTCATTTTTAAAATCTTTTATACATATAAAAACATAACATGTGCTAGACAGAGCCAACTTTTAAAATTATCTTCCTACATTACAAACTAAAGGACTTATTGGTTTGTAAATATTTCACTCTTCTCCTTTGGCTCATTTGGGTTATTTATTTGGATGGTCCTTTTATTTATTATATGGTCCTTTGCTATGGCAGCAATCTCACGTGTGTCCACATTTTGAATCCTCTACCAGAACCATAAAACAGACTAATTTCAGTTGCTTATATTTTCAAATAGAGTAGTTTAAAAATAAAGCAGTGAAATCATTTGGAATGCCTTTAATATTACTTTATCATTCTTTCCTCAATAGTTTTGTTGCTATTGGTTCAACAGTCAATATAGCAAAGGATTTCAAGTAAACATAATTCAATTTTCCTCCAGTAGAGAGGAATGTCAATATGTACCTCATCTAGATTTACACACTAGATTATTCCTAAAAAAGTTACAGTTTTTGATTTTGTATATGTTAAATTTGTCATAGAAAAATTAGAGATTTATTTCTAACAGGATTTTTTCATATAAAAATTAAAGAATGCAAAAAAAATTTAAGTATAAAGAGAAAATACATATCTAATAAATAAATTCATTAATACTATGTGCACTATTAAGTTTAACTACTGGTATCATACAGATATGGAAATAAAATAATAATGTCCATAAACTCCTACAATAAAAAGAAATACCTGAAAATAAAAAGCAGAAATTTCACCTCAGTACCTGAGACCCTTCAGTACTTTTAGTCTCCTTTCTGATCTTATCCAAAGAAAATGGAGGAAGTATTTGTATCTTAAGGATAAAAATTAAGAAAAATCCACAGTCCCACACACACTGAAGCTCACCATTATCATATAAGGTAATGACAATTTTCAGTTTCTATTTTCTAAACATACAGAAGATAATAGAAGAAATAAGTTTTACTTACAATTTTAATGTTAAGTAGTCTAAGCATCCTTCACTATTTTCACAACTTGCCAAGAGCTAAAATATAAACCAGCAGTTCTCTGGAACTAGTAGTGGGGGGAAAAAGACAGTATTAATATAATTCTATTCAAAACATTTTTGCCCAAAATAAGTTTGATTCAGACACTATGTACTTATTACAAACCATCTCCAAATCCTGATGACACACATTACATAACAGATATAATAACAAATTATTTTTAAACTATTGAGGAATCAGAAGTTTTTATGAAACTTAAAATGCAAGTCACCACTCAATAGCAATTACTAAGTCAAGACAGATTCACCATACACAGCCTACGTCTCTTATGAGGGCTTATATTTCAAGTGGCTGAAGGCACAACCCCTGATCTGCAGGAATATAAAATCAAGTTTTTAAAAACTAATCCAAAAAACTACTATAAAGCAATATTGACACATTATTGCCTATTAAGTCACTCTCCTGCCCCCAAAACTCTTCAAAAGCCCTCCTCCTTTCACGGTTAACCCACTGGCCTATACGCAGTGGAGCTCCGGCCTTGCTCCATCAATTATGTCCTCTTTTTCCTCTTTCAACAGTGGGCCCTTTCCTCAGCATCTAGACATTTACAAGACCCTCTCATCTTCAATACGGAAAAGTCCCCCTCCGTGACCCTGTGTACCCCTCTTTCAGCTATTGCTCTAGTTCCTTTCTCAGATAATGTTCTAGAAGAAAAATCGTCTGTACTCTGTCCCCACTTCCTAATTTCTCAGGTACTCCCCCTCCTGTAGAAGTTTGTCATCCATTGCTACCAACTGAAATTGTTACTAAATTCTGGTTGCAACGTCCAATGGACACATTTCTGTCTTCCCAGACACGGTTTCCCATACCCTCCTTGCAACTCTACCTGAATTCCTTTCTCCCTCTCTGGCTCCTCCTTTTCCATTTCCTCTTACAGACCCTCCCGTGATTTTCAAGGAGCTTGGAGCAAGGCTACAAACGGAAGCCCACACACCACATGTACAACACAGGGTCCAGCACAAATAACGCCCCCTATGTGTTAGAAAAGCTTTTATTACAAAATTATAGGCATGTAATTCCATAACATAACAATATCACACTCAAGCACACCATATGACATTTCAGGTAAAATGTTCAAATTAAAACTATAAATTATTACAGTCTTACAATTATCCTACCAACCACACTCAAGCAGGCCCTACTTCTGCCAGACCCTGTGTTTTAAAGTTACATGTCAAGCTAACACGCTCTTAAATTGTTACTCTATCTTCCTGTCTTGACATACGCATTTATAACAACCTAAAAGGCTAGCTTCTGACTTGGACTTCTTAGACTCCCTCAAGTTCCACGGGGCGCATGGGAGAATCAGGCCCCTGCCTGGCCTGCAGCCTGAACCTTTTTTCTCTTCCCAACTTCAGTTCCACTCCACACCAAAAGGAGCCTCATATACAGCCATGTGGACGGACATCCCAGGCTCTGTCCACACGCCTGCAGACTGCTACCCTTTGGCCACCCCTTAGGCCCAGAGAAGCCCATACATGCAGAATGGTCAAGAGAGGAGAGAATCAGAAAACAGGCCTGTCAAGCACCACACGGGCAGGGGTTCAAATACTCAGAACTTGATTTAGAAATGGGTACCAGATGGACTACTTCCCTTGCCCGCCCCACCCCTCCACCAAATCCTAACATCACTGGGAGGGGTACAGCCGGAGGAAGGCCACACAGGGAGTGAACGCTGAAGCACAAAGCCCAGAGCAGGGTTCCCCCCTGGCTAAGTCTAAGGACAGTGCTGCTCTCCTTCCCTGGAGGAACTTCCCGGACCCCATCCCTCGTCCTCTTCTGACTCCACCCTCTCTAAGCTGCCTCCCCTGTCGCCATGGCTTCACTCCAACCTCTCGCCCAGTCTAAACCATATCGTGGGCTCAAGTCTGTCCTCTAGACACTTTCTGCCTCTACTTCATTATGAACTTAAAGAGGGTCTAATACATCGTAAGCATCTACTCCAGGACATTCCAGGCACGCCATTAATTGACCCAGTAATGCAACAAATATCAACTGAGCACCTATTATATGCCAGCACCGTTTTGGATGCTAGAGGTACAGTTAATGCATAAAGCAAAAGTCCTTGTCCTCATGGATCTTAAATTCCAGTGGGAAGAGATGACAATAAAGCATGTACAACACGTATGGAGATGGTGATAAAGGAAAGGAGACAGATGAAACAAAGGGAGAGACTATTCGGCAGGGAAGACGGTTGCAGTTTCAAACTGAATGGTCAGAGAAAAAGTGACATATGACTAAAGAACCAACAGTAGGAATAAGCCACGTCGATAACTGGGGAAAGAGCCTTTTTCAAGGGAAAGCGAAAACTCACGCTCGGCGACAGGGAATGCACCTGACCAGTTCAAGGATCAGCGAGGAGGCAACGTGGCCGGAGCGAAGTGAGCAAAAGGAAGAGCAGGAGGTGATGACCGAGAGGGGAGGGCCCTGCAGGCCTCCTGCAAGGGCTCTGACTCTTACTCCAGGGGGAGGAGGGCTTCATATGCAGGGACATGACCTGACTGTTACGAGGATCATTCGGAGGCTGGGGTGACAACAAGGGACAAGGAGATCAGTTAGGAAGCTCCTACGATAACTGCGTGAGAAGTGATGATGGTGAGGACCAGAGTGGCAGGGTCTGGAGAGAACTAAAAGTGGTCCATGTTTAGCTATGTCTTGAAGGCGAAGTGGACAGATTTGCTAGCAAATTGGATGTGGGGTGTGAGAGAAAAGAGAGTCAAGAAGGAATCCAAAGATATGTCACAGCACCATTAACTGGAATGGGGGAGAGTGTGGTAACCGAAATCCAGTATGTATGTCCCGACCTAAACTCAGTTACCTTCTCCTGTTGTGCTCAGTGCAGTTACCCCGCACAGGTTACCTACACCACCGGGATCCGGGACCCGGGACCCCTGTTCCCGTCAGCACCATCGCACTCCCGCTGCTGACCCCTCCTCTGTAACCTCACCCCCTCTGTCCTCGCCGAAGTCCTTAGTGTCATTGCTCTGTGTTGTATTGTTGTGAGAGCCTCGGAATTTGTCTATTCACCCCTACTCCCGCCCCACTGCCAGTCCGCCGACGGCAGTATCAGGGTGATCCGAGGCGAAGTAAGGTCGGCCCCTCCCAAGTCTTCGGGAGCTCCTCATCCCCTGCAAGGTGAAGTCCCAACCTCTCTGCAAGCATCCTGGTTTAGCAGGAACCAACGAGAGGCCTGGGCCTATTTTCAGAAGTTACGAAACGTTCGTTCTGGTATGTTCGGGTATGAAAATCATGTACCTAAGCCATGCTCACTTGTCCAGCCTCACCTTCCTTGAGTTCCTCCGTCTAATTTTATTTTTTTTGAGAGAGAAAGAGAGAACACACGCAAGGAAGAGATACATCAATTTGTTGTTCCACTTATTTATGCATTCATTGGTTACTTCTTGTATGTGCCCTGACTGGAGATTGAATCTGGCAACCTTGGAGTATCGAAATGATACTCTAACCGACTGAGCTACCCAGCCAGGGCCCCTCCGTCTAACTTCATACCACAGTCATCAGTAGTTCCCTGTATTCTTCCCTCTGGTCCTCAACATTCTTCCCCTGCTTCCCCACTGGGCCAACTCCTAGCTGTCTTAAAAGTCTCAGCTGTAATGCAACCTCGCCCCCTTCAAGTCCAATATCATTTTCTATTATTCTCTTCCCCCAATCACATTATATGCCTCCCTCACTAAAAACATCCACGAAATAACAGCCTCCAGCAGATCATTCGACCTCCCATCAACCATGCTAAGCCCAACACCTATGCCTTTCCCTCGGTGCTCTCTTTACTTCCTTCATCGGCCCCCTGCTACATTCCAAAAGCACCAAGTTTTAAGACTCTGTGTGTCCAGGTGTTTAAGACCCACGATTTAACCAGCTAATCCAGTGCCTTTCAGAGAGTGGGGACAGAGTCAAGATGTGATGAATGCAGGAATAAGCAAACACGCTCCAATCAGACGCATGCTTCCACCGCTCACTGCACACACCAGGGTCTTTCAAACCCCGCTCCCTTTGCTGGTGCTCTCCTGTCACGAGGAATGTCCTCTTTGTTTACTCAAATTCCACCTGCCCTCCAGAGACAAGGACACAATGACATCACCTCTTTCCTATCTCTCACTACACCAGTTCTTCCAGTCATGTTTACTGAGCACCTAGTGCACACCACACAGCACTATGCCAGGAATACAAAAATGAGGTAAAGACTCAGCCTGCAAACAGCTTAAGAGTCTGGTGAGGCAAAGGGAGATGAAGTTCTTCCAACCTTAGAGGTTAAAACGCAAACCTCCAGCCTTGGCAGGGCAGAATCATTTAGTCTTGAAGAGGTACGTCGGGGGTCTCTCAGAATCCGGCACAGCGCCGTGCTCGTGGTTGGAGTAAGGGTACACAGCAGGTGAAAAAGGAAAAAGGCGCAGGTGGACTCGGGAAACACACAGACGCAGTTACAGTGTCAACGCCATGAAGACAACTACGAAGTACAGAGGGGACGGAAAGGAGGAACACCCAAGTCAGCTTTGGGGGGTTCTAGAGAGACGTCAGAGGGGCGCCACCATTAGGCCAGGGACTGAGATAGAGACGGAAGGGGTGAAGACTGGTGTAGCAATAAGAGAAACAACTTTGAATAATAAGACTAAATGAATTCTCAGAACTGAAGAAAAACTGTGTGAAATGATAGCAAACCTAAGTACCTCCCAGAAGTAAATTCTGCTCGTACAATAATTCGGTTGCTTAGAGCACAGACCACATTCTCACCAAAAAGTCTGTTTATGATCTTACTTATACAAAGCACAACGAGGCAAACTCATTCTATGATACTAGAAATAGGATACTACAACACAAAGGGCTAATATTACTAGTATACAAAGAACACTTAAAACAGAGGAATAAGGAACCAAACAACCCTCAGGAAAAATATACAATTCACAAAAACAGATATAAAAATGCAAACATATGAAACAGTATTCAAATACACTCACGGAAAAATGCAAGTCTTTAAAAAATGGTATACCA